GTGCACGTGCTATCCCATTATTGTGATTACTATTAATGTTACGATGGGGGTCTGAGTGTGGGTACGTTGTTTCCTTTACGTCTTATCCAATCCTCGGAGACCTTTGATTTCCATTTCAAGCATTTGCTTTTCTCACGTCTTTTATTGCTTTTACTTTCTTCTCAATGGCATTGCTTAGCCCTTGTTCACCTTCCAATTTATCTTTATTTTTGTGTGATTTTGCTATGTCTAGCCATTACTTCCTTGAGTTCCTGTGTTTCCCTTTGGTGGCTTTTCTTCACAGAGGCTTTTTTTCCTTATCAGATTTGGAATAAAGAGAATTTACACTCAATAAGAGAGTGAATACTCAAGTAGGCAAAAGGTGTTTCACTAAGAACCCAAGACAACTATGAACAAATTTCAACTTATACTTAAACACTGATACATTAAAACAACATTTTTTCTAATGCCCAAGGTAGTTCCATGCAGCGACACACCAGCAGCAGACAGGGACTTGTCCCCCTTTCTGTAATTGGAGGAGGAAGGTAGCTCTGCAGTGGGAGAGAAGTTCAGGGACTGGTGGTCGGGGACAAAGGCACAGAGCACAGGTACACAGAGCATGCACCAGCAGCCTTTGGAGCTAACCATCCTCTTGTCTGTTGAGAGCCTGGCCCAGGGTCGGGAATTGCTTTTAAACATGCACCTGCGTGACATGTGAAGCTCAACCCGGTGCTCTAGGAAATGTGGGTCTGGAGCTTCCTACTTGTTTAGATGAGTAGAGGCACAGCTCATTTGGAACCACTGGCTTTTCCATTGCTTAGGTTTGTTTCATAAAGGGTGGTCCCACATGCGGTGGCAGAATGGAGATGTGAAGTCACGCCTACGAGAGTCACTGTGTATCTGTGGGGAAGCTAGTATTATGCTGGTCTAAACAGGCCTTATGTCATGCTGGCACTCCTGCTGCCGAAACCTGAGATGGTTTTGTTTCATGCTGTGATCCTGTGTTGGTCTCTGAATCCCTGTAGTGTGCGATGTGGTATGGATTTGAATGTGGTTCTGCATGCTCTTCTATGAATTCATTCTGAAAACCGAGGGGTTGGATTAAAAGCAAAGCTTTTTCTCAGATGAGAGGGAATAAGATTGAGTCATTATGTCATTCAGATCCTTTCCCACTTTTCCACAATTAAAACTTATTATAGAGACCTTCATTTAAACATAGAGGATTCAAACACGTAATTAACAATTTCCATGCCCTCCCCAAGCCCCGTAGGAAGATGGAAAAGTAATTTTAACAAAAAGGTGTAAACAATAAACACAAAACCAAAAAGAATAGGAGGCACAGCGTTGGAGGAGTTGAGGGCAGCTTCAGAAGTTGGAGGCTGGAAGCAAAATGGAAACTAGTTGAATTAGGAGGTGAGTTGAATCTGGAATCCAAATATTCTTAGAAGGAGAAGCACAAAGAGAGCCAATTAAAGCCTCAGGGCAGGGAGAGGCAGGGCACAGGCCTGGTGAGAGGAGGAGAAGGGCTAGAAGCCCAGGTCCAGACGGTCCATTGCCCCCTCCTCCTGACATCCAAGAGTGCCACGCCCTCCTCCAGACGTCCACCGGGGTCAGACCCTCCTCTTAATGGGGAGAATCTGGGATCCAGGGTGCCAGGCACCGTGGGAGGAGGCAGGGCAGAAATATGAAAGGTGGAATAATTATTTTGGGATAGAAATGAGTGAAGTTTTGTATTACAACCAAAAATATTTTTTCAATATATGGCTTTTCTTTGGGTCAAGGCATTGGCCACTTCCTCTCATTTTCTGCATATGATGGGTGATGTTTGTGATGTGTGTTGTGTGTGTGTTGTGCTGTGCATGTTGCTGGGTATGTGTGGTATGTGTATATGTTGCATATGGTGTGTGTGTGTTGTGTGTACATGTTGAGTTTGTTGTGTGGGCTGTGCAGGTATGCGCATTGTGTTTGCTTGTTGCAAGTGTATTGTGTCATGCATTGGGTGGGCCCGGGTACCTAACCTTTGCCACCCTTCCTCCCTCATGGCTCTTCTGTAGGAGTGCTCCTCTCCTTTCGCCTGGCCTGACTTCTAGTTGCATACCACACCATCCACGATTCTATTTCTTCCTGGGATTGAAATGCACTTCCCTTCTTTCTTCTTTGTTCCCCAGGCCACGCCAGGCTCCAGCCTGACTGCGTGGGCCCTCTTTCACCTTTGCAGTCTGTCTCTGGGGCTGGGAGCTTGGACTTCTCTGGCCTGACGCAAAGTGGGACTTGGGTCCTCTTTAGTCCTGTTTGTTTTGGTTCTGTATGAGAAGGCGGAGCTTGCCAATTCTAACTCACACCTTCTGGCCTAGGACCAGGGTGGGCGTCCCTCCAGGGTGACCTACCTCCAGCCTGCAGTGACCCGAGCCTGGGGTGGCCCACCCCTGCATGAAGTCTCCTCCCTAGCACCGAAGCAGCAGGACAGCTGGGTCACAGGAGCTCAGCGTCAGCTGTTGTCCCCCTCCTGGGATTCTGCCCCTGGTCCCACTGACCTCACAGGCTGACCACTGTGGGCACATCCTATGGTACCTGTGCACTAGCCGCGTGATGGGAGGCCTGAGGGAGGAGAGCAACTGATGTGCCTGCCCTGCCCCTCCCCAAGGCCACAGCTGGTGCCAGGAAGCCTCTCCCACAGACACAGCGTTGCTGGCTCCTCTGTCCACCTCCTCTCCCTCCCTCACACCAAGGGCAGCAGTGGCCCTCCTCCTGCCTCTTCCTCACCTCACTCTAGTTTCTGACCTCACCTTAGCATGTTCCCTGTGGGAGACTCTTGTCTGTCTATCTGTCGCTCTCTCTCTCTCTCTCTCTCTCTCTCTCTCTCTGCTTGCACTAGTGATTGAACCCAGTGACATTCAACCTCTGAGACACATCCCGGCCCAATTTCTACTTTTTATTTTGAGACAGGGTCTTGCTAAGTTGCTTAGAGCCTCGCTATACTGCTGAGGCTGGCTTTGACCTTGCCATCCTCCTGCCTCAACCTTTCCCAGCTGCTGGGATTACCGGCACGCACTGCACTGCACCGCCACACCTGACTTCTTATCTCTTATTTGTGCCCTCCTTTCCGGCTCAGGGCTCCGACCACTGCAGTGTCACTCCATCTGAAAGGGTACAATGAGGCTCTCTAACTGGCCACATTGAGGCATTCATAAGTCCCCATTTTTTGAGATTTCTTCTTAGAAACCTTAGCGTATGTTTTGGAGCTGAACTGCATCTACCACAAATTCATATGTTGACGTCTCCCATGACCAAGAATGTGACTGCATTTAGAGAAAAGGCCATTAAAGAGAAAAGGTCAAATAAGGTCATAGGGGTGTGTTAGTCAAGTTTCTGTCACTTTGACCAAAATACTTCTCAAGAACAACTTAGAGGAGGAAAATCTTCTTTGGGGCTCACGGTTTCAGAGATCCATGGTTGGCTGACTCCATTGCTCTGGGCCTGCGGTGAGGCTGGCTGTTATGATGTAAGGGTGGACCCCAACTCATGGCCATCGGGCAGCAGAGAGTCTTCCTGCGCTTCTTCCCACATTCAGCATCCTGTCACTCATCAAGGCTCATAAAATTATTTACTTAATATATGATAGTAAGCTGCCGAACATTAATAATGTGCTCATTCTCACTAGCAGTCAAAAACATAGAGATCAACAGAAAAAGGAAAAAAATTGGAAAATAGCAAAAAATATAATACCCAGTGTGGTCCAGAGTCAGAGGAAATGCACATTTCTATACACAAAAGTCGGGCCTTCTGGCTAAGTCACTAGAAGCTTTTGAACATTCCTTGCCTTTAACTCAGTAATCTCACTTCCAGAAATTCACCCCAAGGCAATAAGCTGACACATATGTAGGTATTTATATTTTAGCTTCACTTCACCTTTGTAAATAGTAAAAAATATTTAAATATCAAATAGCTTAAAGAAAGGATTTGTTCCACATATTTATCTTACATTTGCAATTTCTTGGCAGTCATTAAGAAGGATCACATAGATACATATTTATCAACCAGATGACACCCACCTGTGTGGTTAGATACAAAGGAAGGTGGCAAAACAATATATATTATAAGACAAATATATATTTTTCTTAGTGTTTTAGTTTTTTTCATTGCTGTGACCAAAATAACCAAGAACAGCTTAGAGGAGGAAAAGTTTGTTTGGGGCTCATGTTATCACAGTTCTCCATCCACAGATGGCCGATTCCATTGCTCTGGGCCCAAGGTAAGGCAGCACATCATGGAGGAAGAGCCCAGCAGAGGAAAGCTGCTCAGCTCATGCCAGTGTCAGGAAGCAGAGAGAGAGGGCAGAAGGGGCCCACCTGCCTGAAGTTACTACCCAGTCTAGTTATAGCTTCCAGAGCCCAATCATTTTGCCTCTGAATATTCCTGCAATAACAGAAGGTTTTGGGAGAACACTTCGCATCCAAATCATAAACAGGAAAAGATATCTGAAAAAATGTCCCTCAAACTATTAATGGTGGTTATTTTTTAAGATGGCCTTCTAGAAAATAAATTTTATTTTATTTTTTATTTTGAGACAGGGTCTGGCTAAGTTGCCTAGAGCCTCGCCATGCTGCTGAGGCTGGCTTTGACCTTGCCATCCTCCTGCCTCAGCCTTTTCAAGCCTTTTCTCTATTTTCTCTCTCCTCCCACCCACATGCAAGACTTTATAATGAAAAAGCTTATATTTTTATTTTCCAAATTCTGGGCAATCTTGTAACAATCAATTGAAGGATTGCAGCTATATTGCCTACAATGAAGAACATCAGTAACATGCAAGTTCCTGTGCCTTTGAACTTAGCCCCGAGAACCCTACGCTGATCCCGTGGGAGAAGAGATATCTGCTCAGTTACATCCCCATATACCAGCACTATGGAGAGCTCCTGACCCCTGCTTTAACGGAAGCGAAGCTGTGCTCCTAACATCTCTGCCAAGATGTGACAAGGAATTAAGAAATATAAGACAGCTGCAATCCTTCAATTGCTTCTAGATTTCAAATTACCAATGCAAATTATTTTATTTTATTTGACGTCTTGGAATGGAAGTAAGATCTTTTCCTGAGCGCTGGATTGTTGACTTGTCAGCAGCAGTCTCCTGATCCAGAAGGGTTTCAGGGTCATTGCAGACTTGTTCACTTTTTGTCGGAAATTCCCACTGACCTCTCACTGGACGCTTCTCTAGCGCCCGGGTGTGAGTGGAAGCTCTATCATCCGTTGTAGGTGAACCTGACTTATCCATGTCAGGATCGGGAAATCAGTACAGGTTGCTTCGTGGGAATGACCTGTGCCCCAATGCCGGCCAATGCTTGTAATGAGAGGTCTGGTGGCTTTCATGAAGAAGGTTCTGGATCTCTTGCCTCCGAGTGTGTACTTATTCCTTGGTCATTCAGCTCCTGCTCCTTTAGCTCTACCTCCTCTTCCCATTCCTCATGCTGGGCACTCCTGGGGGTGACCCCAATTGCCGCAGTCTGGCTGGGTACGATTCAGGAGCCACTTGTCAAAAGAAACGAACTTTATTTTTAGAACACACATGCCAAACCACACAGCTCTTCAGGAAAACCTTCAGAGCCCAACTGCCACCACCGGCTTCCCACAAGCCTCTCAACCTCCCCCACTCCTCCTGCTCTTGAGGCCGATTGGCTGGGTTACGTGGGCGAAGCCAAAAAAAGTCCGCCAATGAGCAGCTCTGTGGTCTGAAAGGGCGGGAAACAGCCCAATGAGCATCACCGCAGAGGAGCCAATCAGTTGGCAGCTAGAAGTTTGCTGGGGCCCCTGTGAGCCAATCATCAGCTGGCAGCTGGAAGTTTGCTGGCAGCTGGAAGTTTGCTGGGGCCCCTTTGGCTTCTCAACACCCAATAGGGCTTCTGTTTAGTCCCTACTCCCCCCGATTCTCAAAGCTCTGGACACCTCCCCTGTGGATCCATCTGCAGTCCCCTAGGTCCACCTCTTCTGACAAGGTTCTTTGCCCTCCCTGAGGCGGTCATGCACTTAATCCCTAAGGATTCTCTCTCCAGGGTGGCCCTTCCTTGTGGTTCTGAGACATTTGTTACTTTTCTACTCTTCCTGAAATTCTTATATTGCTTCTCCTCCACTAGTGGCTCTTCTTCACTTGGAAACAACCAGATGGGAAAGACCACATCTTGTGTTGACCAGATCTCCACGCCTGTCTCCACCACGCCTGACTCTGCCTTCTCTCTCAGTACAGAGGGAGATAAAGCTGATCTTTTGAAAGGAAGTTCCTTTCCTTATGAGCTGCACCAACTTTCCTTCTCACCTGCTTCAGGGCTTATTTCTGCAGATGTCCATTTCTCTGGTTTACATGGTCAATTTCTCTTTTGCTGGTTCATTCCCATGGACACTGCCGTAGGCAGTGCTGTCCCCACTTTATTGACCTGTACTCTCTTCTCCACAAACTACTCTCTCTCCACTGTTTCACTCTCAATGTCTGGAGGGTGTTACCAACATGTTTCCCATCTCTCTATACTATTTAATTTTCATTTTTTAAAATGTGAGATATATTGTGAAAGATATGCCTTTAAAGAGTATATAAAATATGTAATGATATGTATTTCCATATATCACTGTATGTATAAAGATGTATTTAGAAATTAATGCCCAAAATAGAGTGTTCTTAGTAGCTTGCAAGTCCTCAGGGAAGCATTTCTAAATCGTTTTCTTTGCCTGCCTCCACAGATATGGCTACTTTCCTAAACTCTGCAAAATTTTCTGCATACTTTTAAAAAATACTTTATCCATATTTGTCCATCTCCCCAAACTACATATTTTAGTTCATTTAATAAAACATGCTCTGTATTTATTATAAGACTAGTTTTTCTTTTGCTCAGTAGTATATGATTGAAATTCTATGGCATTAATGCATGTGGCTGAATTATGTTCAAGGTACAGGAAGACAGATTTGAAAATATATATATATATATATATATATATATATATTATGCCTTTTTTCAGATGAAAGATATTCTAGTTGTTTCTAGATTTTTTTTTTACTTAATATAAATAACACTTCTGTGAAAATCGAACATGTTTTAAATACAAGCAAATCGGTTGGGATTAGATTGTACATTTTTGACCTAAATAGATATTGCCAATTTATGCTAGAAAGCAGAGATGCAAATTTATACTGTCTGGAAGTATTCTATGTACATTTTCCATTCTCCATATATTTGACACCTAGTATTATCAGCTGTTTGACTCTTACAACTGTTGAGTAGGACATGCTTGTTCACTGGGATTCTAATTAGCTTTTCCTGTGCCACTATAGTCTTATATATTAAGATTAAATATCCTTTATATGTTTATTGATTGTTGGGCTTTTTTTGTAAATTTCAGTTTATATCTTTTTGGTTGGTTGCATGTTCTTATCAAGTAATGGCAGTTCTTTATATTCTGGGGTACTAATGATGTCACACGTACTTATTGTAAATAGCTTCATTGACTTTATGCCTCAAGTAGTCCTTCCTGATGAATACATTTCCTGATGAATGAATGTCATTAGTTTTAATATAATCTACTTATCAATCTTGTCTTTTGTGATAGAGGGTCTTAGTTTTAGTTGAGTAGATGCTTTCTTACCTCAAAGTCATAAACATCTTCCATATTTCTCTCAGTGTTTCAAAATTCTGCCTTTGACATTGAAGCTTCCATGTATCAATCAAATACAAATGGGGAAATGCTCCAGTTAAAATACAAAGGTCAGAATTTTGGAAGTTCAAGCATGTGTGCTCAAGTCATCAGGGTCTAAAGTGAACGTACAGCGTGGTCACGCAGGTGGGCAGGAGGACATAGAAGACTGGTCATTCTGAAAGTCTCGCTTCTCTGCCTCGGCACTGTCCCTTGCATGGTTGGATCCTGTTCCCTTCTTTAGTGTGGCACTGCCTGTTGTCCCTTGTTTCAGAAGTTCTAGATCCTAATAACCTTCTCATGATTTTAGCTTCTCCTCTAGTAATTTGCCAGTGGCAAATTGTCCATCTTGGTCTGAAAGTATTTTCTTTTTGCCTTTTTTCTTAGAAAATAGTTTCACTGGTCAACAGTGTCACGGTGTCTGTTGTTCTGTCTGCTGCCTCCCTTGCTTCTACTGAGAAATCCTCTCAAAGTCTAACAGCCCCTGCATTAAAGGTGGCCTGCTGTATGTGTGTGTGTTTGTGTGTTTGTGTGTGTGTGTGTGTGTGTGTGTGAGAGAGAGAGAGAGAGAGAGAGAGAGAAAGTTTTATATATAGAAAACTCTAAAGATTCCACACAAAAATTGTTAGAATACCTGAATTCTGTTAAGTTGTGGGATTAAAAAAAATAATACCCCAAAATCTGTATCATTTCTACACACTAACAATGAATTAGCCGAAAGAGAAATCAAGAAAACAATCCCATTTACCCTAGATAGAAAAAAAAAATAAATATAACCAAGGAAGTGAAAGCAATTGAAGAAGATACAAATAAATGGAAAGATATCCCATGTTCATGATTTAGAATAGTTAATATTATTAAACGTTCATACAGCCAAGACTGATCAACAGATTCAATGCAATTTCTATGAAAATTCCAACCACTGACAGATGGTTATTAGGGCCCCTCACCCCTCATGGTTCCGTGAGAATAGCTGCACACTGGTCTGGACCACTGGAACTGTGGCTTGCTTGTGTACTGCAGCCCTGCTCATGACTGATCTAAATGTTCCTCTTCCATCTTTTTTGGGGTATGGTTGGGGCTATTTGTTCCTATGACCTGGTGAATGTCATACAGTTCACAGAAACAATTCTGCTCAGGGTACTTGAGGTATCATGATCAAGTGCTCCAGTTTTAGCAGAACCTATAGCACACCAAGAGCTGGAGTCAAATTGGACCTAATTCTCATTGTAGCTAGCATAGTCTTTTCCCAGAACACTCAGGGCATACTTTGGGTTCTACTAAAGCTTACCATAAATGCCACACTGCAGCTTTTCCCCCCAAAGAGACTTCAAAGAGCGAAGGGCCCGCCAGGTCATATGGTCCGAACCACAGAGCCTATTGTGGTATCACAGCTCAGAGCTGGTCTAGAGCCATTTCCTGATCTGGAGATAGCAACCATTGGAGAAGTGGGTTGGAACAGTACTTCCCTAGTGTGGAAGTACTGGCTATCAGTGCTTCTTCGTTAGTGGTAGTACAGGAAGCACAAATTAGTCTTTATTTTGGGGGAAAAAAAAGTTCTTCTACTTATCCAGGCCACGGAGTCTCAAAAGTCTTTGCTCATAAGGCAGATCTCTGGTTTATAGAGTCTATTGCCAATGCTCTGAAGTGCCTGGCCTTTGCCCAGCCTCTAATGTACTTGCCCCTTCTTGTTCCCTTTGCCTGATTAACCTGATACCACTGATATGGTGGACTAATGTGATGCTTTGTAGAGCATCCAAATGGTTAAGGTCCCTCCTTATCACATTGTGACTGCAGGCAGCAGCTTTCTGTACCATGTAAATGTGCACTGATTCTGATCCTCCTTAATCTGCTCTAGTGAGCTGGGCACAGTGACACGCACTCATAATGCCAGCTTATTTGGGAGGTTGAGGCAGAAGGATGGCAAATTCCAGGCCAGTCTTAGCCATTTAAGTGAGATCCTGTCTCCAAAAAATAAATAAATAAAAAAATAAGGACTGGGGATGTGACTCAGTACTCAGCAGGGTGTCCCTAGGTTCCATCCCCAGTACTAAAAAAATAAAATGGAAAAGAGAATCCTTTCTAAAGCTCTGATGAAGATGACACAACTGTTTCCATGTCCACCATTGGAGTTACTATTTGGCTGAGATGGCCTAGCCCACTGTTGTCCTCCAGCATCTCTCCACCTTTTGTAGTGTCCATGCTGGTCTATTAAATGGGCTATGATGGCACCACCTGCCACATATCCCCTAAGGGCTTAAGGTTGGCACTGATCTCTGTCAATTCTCCAGGGTTGTGACTTTTTTTTTTTTCCTTAGTGAGTCAACCAAGAAAGCAGTTGCTGAAATGTTACTTAAATATGTATGATAGCTCTTAGCCCAGAGGCCAGCCAACCCATGTGGGTGCTCTGTCAACTTCCAAGTGCATCTATTCCAGCTGAACATTTGGGAGACTGGGAAATGACCACTGGGTGGGTCCAGGGACTCAGGTGACCACTGGGACCCAGGCCTTGGCCAGAGCTCCACTTACACTTGGCACATACACCCCACTCCAATGGGGGAGACTCTCATGAGTTTTGGGTTCTTTGAGTATGAATACATGTCCAACATTTCTCAAAATGTTTGAATATTCTGCTTTTCAATGTATGGTTATCTAAATAAATGACTGTAAATCCCTGTGGTGTTAATACAGTGTTTCTGTGTTCACTTACTGAGGACCTGACCTCTCCTTTAATTAGTGGGTTCTAGGTCAGAAAACTGGCTCAGGCAATAAGATTTATTTATCAGTTCTTTCATCATCTATCACAACAGTGCTGGCATTTTGACTTTATTTAGTATGGGCCATAATTTTTTTCAAAGTTCCTAGAGTCATCTTAGCAGCATGATAAAACTATCCTCCAGAGCCCTCGCCATGTGGCAAATCATCTAGCACAGCAGGCTGCCCCCATATAAATAAGCTCACCCATATCCAACTTTATGTTTTGGCCCATTGCTCCTTCACCCTCGGGATCCAGTGACATAAACAACCTCTCTTCTGCTGGCACATGATGGCTGGGTCCTGCAGCCCCCAAGAACATGGTCCCTTTCTTCCCAGAACATACCCAGTGCTTTCCTGCCATGTGCCGTTCTCACCTGACTCTAGTTATCGGTATTTTAGGAGTGGGAGGTGACATGGATCCTTGGGGGCCTTGAGTTATCTTGCAATTCAGAGATTTAAATATGTTCAAGTTATAGAAGAGCCAAGTGTCTCACTGGGAGGACAGGGCCACTTCTGGAGACCCAGAGGGCTCCAAGTGGAGTCTTAACATTTTGAGAGCATCAATCCTGATGTTCTGTGTGCACTCAAGGGGTAGAGTCCCACTCATTCACACTAGTCCCTGATATTGTCATAGCACTTTTGCCAGGGCTGGGAATTCAAATTTCTTTGGAGGGCTGCTATTCTTATAATTATTATAAGTCTTGGACCTTATCCTCTGCTTTTCTATCCTCCTGCTATAAGAGATAAGAGTCTCTTTAGATGCCTCGGAGAGGCTTTCTAACTTTTACACTTTGCTTTCAATGGATGATTCATAGCCCTGAGCCGCACATTGTCTTTCTCTAATGCATCAATGACTCAGCAAGAGCCATCAAATGCCATTGTTCTCATAATTGGTACCTTTTCTGAATCTCTCAAAAGCCTGGGATATTGCATTCTCTCCCACTTACATCCTCTTGGAGTTCATCACCAGGGAAAGTTGTGACAGTTGTGCTTCAGCAGCAAGAGTGATGGGTGCTCACAGGCCTGTAGGAGGGGTCTTCATTTCTTGCTGTCAAGGGATGCTCCAGCCCCACCGGTCCACTTCCTCTGAACACTCCTGGTTTGGTTCTGGAGAAACAGACTGGAGGTGAAAATTCATAAGAGGAAGTTTCTGGGGAGTGGCCTGGTGACTGTGCTCACAGAGGAGTGCCCGAGGTAGAGCTAGGCAGGAGGAGTTGCTCTTTGTGGCAGCCAGTCTCACCAGGAGCCTGAGTTGGGGTGACTTTCTGGAGTCGTCCACCCATGAAGCAAGGGGCCAGGTTTCTTCCTCACCTTCACCACCCACCAGGTAACGGATGTGGGCTGCCCGAGGGAGATGCCATTAATGTGGCCAGTGTGACTATCTTCAGCTGAGGGCAGTCCCCAGAGAGGGACTGAGCCTAAGAGACAGCCTGAGCCTAAGAGACTCACAGCAGCTGGGGGATGGTGACAGAGGCTTGACAGGACACCAAAGCAGCCCTAGCCTTCCCCGCCCTGTTTTTATCTTAGGAAGCACTGATTCTCCCCATGTTTACATTCTCGGCTTTTTGTTTAATGCACATTTCCTTGGTTTCCTGGGGCAGGAGAGGGGGAGCTGCATCTCACTCCAGGAATTTAATTACACCTTGACCTCGGATTTGATGATCTCTGCCCCCCACCCTGCAATGCATACATGCAACACACACACACACATACACACATATACTGGTTTGTTCTTGTGTTTACTCCCACCCTTTTTGGACTCTCCACCGTTGCTTATTACCTGCAGGCCTCACCTGTTTTAGACCCAGGTCCCTGCCCCTCATTCCCAGCCCTAGTATCACAACCTGTCTCCAAGCAGACATGTGGTCAATGACTGCATATTTCATGCTGCTTGGCCTCCTATCCAGTTTTGATGGTTTTCCATGCTTCCCCATTTCCTAAGTTCATCATCCACCCTCATTCCAAGGAAGTTTCCTAAAACATAGACCTTTAACGTGCAGACAGCCTTAGGGAGTATTTGCAAAGTCCTCCCTGGATTGTCTTCTAGGCACACAGAGATGAACAACACAGATAACATTCAGGCTCTTAGGGAACTTATATTTTAGTGGGAAAACTTAAATTAAAACAAACTGGGGACAAAGGTCAGTAGTGGAGTGCTTGCCTAGCACAAGGGAGAACCTGAGTTCAATCGCCAGCCCTGAGAAAAAAATAAGCCAAACCCAATGAATAAGCGGATGAGCACATGGATAAATATTGGATAGTGGTAAACGGTAATCCAAGGGTAAGAATGAGTCGAGCGATGGCATGGCTATTTTATCACACCACTTGCCTGACTGACAGCGATCAGAGGATCCTCATTGTTCTCAGGGTAAAGTGGGGGGGGGAGGAGACTGGCAGACAAGGTTCGGGGCCATGAGTGTGGGGGAGGTGTTTTCTGGCCCCTGGGGTTTAGTACCTTGGGGGTCTGGCTTGTCCTAGAAGGTTGGGCCTTAGGCCATTACCTTCTTCGGGCTCCCCTTCCCTCCTCCTCCTCAGGGCATTCCCTCCTGCTGATCACCAGCCAGAGTGACAAAGCCCAGCTGGCCTCAGCTTGCTCCCCTTATTGGTGCAATCAAGACTCCATCTTGGCAGTGACTTTTGCCACTGTTTGAGGGAAATGTGGATGTGAGGTGACATTCACGAGAAGAGAGGTTGTGTTTAAGCAAAGAGGTACAATGCTGGTTTCTGCCAAGGCCCATCACTGGGGCTTGACAGCAGCAGCCATGCATAGCATTGTCCCTTTGCAGCCCAGAAGCCCCCCTGCCCCACAGCTCTGGCTCAGTGACCTCACGGAAGGAGATTTTATTAACAAGGAAAACAAAACATAAAAAGCTTTCAATAGGTCACCTGGCAAATCCCCATTCTCGGCTGGGGTTGCAGCTCCGTGGTACATACAGCAGGTGCTCAGTATGCGTGAGGCACTTCCCAGCACTCCCCCCCACCCCCCCCGCGCAAAAGAAACTTATCAGGGCCTTGACGACACCCCAATGCACTCATCACTAGTGAAAACAGGGAGCAGAAAAGTCCCTTGTCGGAAAGGGAGACTCCCGCCGTTTTGCAAAGGCAGGTTCCTGCCATCTCTCACCTCGCTCTGAGACCCCCGAAACGTCAACCTAAAGAAGCCGTCGGCTAACTCTGGAGATGTCCCTCTCGCCCAGCGTGACGGTCCTCCTCCTCCCGCTCCCAGTTCCTCGCCCCCGCTAGCCCTCGCGCCCGCCGCTCATCCCCGCGGTCCGGCCGGGCTCCTGCGGCGTGGACCCCTGACGATGGCCTCTGCTCCCCCTAGCGGCGGGTTCCGCACACCACCCGTTGGCGCCTGAGTGTCAACAGCTGCGGCCCAAACTGGACCCAGAAGACCAGACCAAGATGTGTTACTCAGAGGAGGCGCAGCGTTTGTTTTCACCCCAACAACCCAGTCAGAAATGGTGAGATCTTTGTCCTTTCAATTGCAACATACAGAGGAAAAATTACGACTATCTAAATTGGATTTCATAACTTGTACAGTAGAGCCTTCGAGATTATTTCCCCTTTGTCATGCATAGAAATAGAACAGATGCAAAATGAAAACGATTCTTGCTGATTCTGAATTGCATCGCCAATGAAGTGGCTACTCTAAGGTTGATATCAGCCACACTGATTGCCCTTTTGAGTGAAATCAACATGCTTCACCAAAAAAAAGGTGCAGTATTAGGATTATGCCTGTATTTTTCTGAGACTGAAATAGTCTCAAGAAGGGTGAGGCAGCCATTATGTATGAAGACAGGAGGGAAGACCTTTCAGTGGCCGAAGGTTCTACCCTGTCTCCCCTGTCTCGTGGCCTGGGGTGCAGTCAGCGCTGACACTGAGAGGCAGTTGCCATTAGGGCAATTACTAGCTCTTTGTCCTTTGCACACCAAACCTCTTAACTCCCAGCCCTTGAAGAGAGGGTGGAAAGAGTGCCACACAGAGCTGGGTCAATTTTCAGGATGGTGGCAAGTGAAAGAACAAGTGGGCAGAGAGAAGAGGGAACATCTTAGGAGGAGGGAAAGGGTGTGAATACAGAGCGCACTGTATTAGCTCTGGCTGTTCTCAGGCACAGTTTTAAAAATTTCTATTTTGTGAGAACTTAGGAAAATTTCTTTGCAAGAACAGCAGTAGAACAGATCTGGGGCTGAAAGACTTTTCTTCTTTATTTTACATAATAAATGTTAACTCAAGACCTCCCAAAAGTATCAGGAGGCAGTGGTATTAGCATATTCACTGGACAGACAGACTGAGGCAAAGACAGGGTAAGCAACTTGCCCAGACTCCTTCAACAGTAAGTAGGTCCACCCTGGAAATGGGCCAGCAAACATGAGCTCTGGTAAGCCATGCCTCTGTACATGCTCCAAGTTGCTCTCCCAGAAAGAAGAGTGTTTGCTGAAGTTCAGAAGCATCCTCTCCTCTGGGGGTAGGACCTTGAGCTCTACAACTGAGCATGCTGCACTGCTTTGGATCTGCCATGGCCATGTGCGCAACACGGGTTGGCTATCAGTGCAGCTGGGTTTGAAAGAGGACATTCTCATTCTGAAGCTTCAGGTAGCTGCAGAATCACATCTCATCCTTCAGAATTCTAAGCTTACTTCTGCACCAGTGAGTTGGCATCCAGGTGGCCTCGATTTGTGTATGCGTTGGAGATTAGAACATTTTTACTCCCCTAATGGATGCTCATTTCATTAATTTCAGTAACACAAAGACAAGGAGATTTTTTTTTTCAAGAAATTCTTTTTATGTGGTTAAAGTGTTTTAAAAATAAAATTTTCCCAGCAACGAGAGTCGGGAGTACTCAGGCTAAGAGGCTTGGGCTGTACCAGTCACTAGAGAGCATATTGCTTTTGGCAGGGGCCAAAAGAGATGGTGAGGAGGAACAGCACCAGGATGGACCCAGACTTACTTAGTAGGCAGACAACAAGTTGAGTAGAACAATTATAGAGATATCAAACTCACTTTTTATATGGTGATTTTTTTATGCCCTTATTTTCCCATCTGTGATTATATCTTGTATTAGCACAAACCTCTATGGTCGGAGCTGTTACCAAGAGGTAGAAGATCTAACCGCACATTGACCAGCAATAGTATGGTCATTTAAACCACCAGTGCTTGCAACAGCTGAGCATATCCTGCAGTGCTTCTTAGACAGTCTTTCCTATTGTGTTTTTGAAAAAGTACTCAACTTTCACATAGTAAAAAGCAAATGTGGGGCTGATTCTCAGGGGCGGTGGTATCTTAAAAAAGTGTTTCCAGTGCCTGTGTTCTTAGAACAATTGAAGTAAACATGTTAAGTAAGATTTCAAACCTTTTGCCTCTTGTTACTGGTCTGTCTAATATGTCATCCATCTGGGATGGGTGAACAGACGGTTGACATCCTTGGAGAGATTCAAAGTCTAGACTATAGGGCAGGTTGTTCTGCATTTTTATACAAAAGAATTCTTTTGCTTGCAGAACCAGATGGTAGACAGAATTACTCTACTTAGTGCTGGAAGCTATTTCTGAAGGAGTGTGCACTGATCTACTGATAGAGACAAATGCCCTGGGTAGGACTTCAGTGGAACCCAGAGCTTGATTTGCAATATAGGCAGCCTTGTCTGGTCCCTAAGTGACCGATCTTCAAGGAGAGTATGACTTGAAAATAAAATCTGAAATCATGAAATAGTCTTTCCTTGAACGCTTGGCAGTGTTATTAATATCTGGCTACTTGGCAGGACTGTTATAACAAATCACATCTTAAATAAACTTCTTATATACAACATGTGTGTTAAAATGCATTTGTTTAACATCCAAAGATTAGATTTTGGCTAGTTTATAACAAAAAATAGCTAAGATTTGTGTTGCAATGAGAAAATTCAGGGGACTAGGGTATCACCAATGTGAATAATTCAGAATAATACTTTGCTTAAAAATTAACTAATATTGGATCAGCATTTCACATTATGAGTCCATATACAGAAATTCATGTGTATAGTATTTCTCTTAACCAGAAGCAATTAGGAATTCAGGTAAGAGCAATTACTTGTGAACATTTTTATATAAAAGAGGTCCCTGTGCCGAGCCACAC